GGGCAGGGGGCCGGGCAGATGGAGGCAGCCATGTCCCCTGGGGAGATGCTGGGCTCCAGCAGCGGGGCAGGAGGGTCCTGGGCTGGAGTGGCTGGAGGAGGTGGCAGCTCCTGACATCTTCAGCAGCACCCGTCAGGTGCCCAGCAGGGCTGTGCTGGGGGCCATGTCCAGGCAGTTGCTGCCTTGGAGCAGGCAGGAGGGGGCATCTTTTGGGGGGAGGGTGAGCGAGTGGGAAGCAGGGGGGCAGGGGCAGCTCTTGCAATGGAGGGTCATCGCCAGGGCTGCTCACCAGCTCGGGGAATGACTTTGGGAAGGGGACAAGTAGTCAATAGCCTGAGAGAGAAGCCAGCCCTGGAGCATCTCTGAAGGGCTGTGGGAGACAGAATCAGAGAAAAGGCTGGTGAGGTTCAACATAGGTATGTGAGGGTGCTGGGGGTGTGTGTCAGGTAATGCAGCCTGGGGCTCGATGGGATCCCGGCTTCACAAAACAGCAGGTAGGAGCTGACAGCTGGTGGGGTCATGGGGTGACACTTCAGCTCAGTGCCCAGCCCTGCTCCCAAAATGAATAAATCCAGTGTGGCCAAACCAGGCAGGTACTTGTCCTTCCTGAGCCACCCCTGCCTTGATTCCCACCTGTGGGGCTGGTCCTGCTGCTCAGACAGGGATGGTGGAGGAGGAGGAGGAGGAGGAGGAGGAGGAGGAGAGCTAGCCTGGCATCCAGGAACGAGAGGCCAGGCAGCGTCAGCAGGTCCTGGAGCTGTGGGTGGCAAGGGGCTTGGGGAGGGCTCTTGTCATCCCCTCCCCACTGGGAGGAGGTTGAGGTGAGAAGCCCAGCGTAGCCTGGACACCCTGAGGAGGAAGCCCTGGTCCTCAGGAGGTGACAGGGCAGACAGAGTGTGTAGACTCTGCTGGGGGGGGATGGGTCCCTGCAGCCCCCCTGGAGCAGCACCCCGGGCCGACCCCTCGAGCTTGCTGCGGGCCCCCAGCCCCGAGCAGGGCTGGGGCATGGCCGGCACTCTCACAGCTCCCCCCCGCCTTGCCACCCCTTGCTTCGCACAACTTCACGGCACCATTCATTGCTTCCGTGGCAAGGAGAAGGCTGGGAGCACAGCTCTGCCTGTTTATTGAGGAGCGGTCGCCGTGCTGCCTGCCACTGCCACCCCCGGGGCCGTGGGGTGGGGGGCAGAGGGTGGGTGGGGCTGGCTGGGGTTCCGGCCA